TTCTATGCATTCAAAAACTGAAGTTCATTTATTTATTGCATACATGTAAATAGTGACTTTTTCATGAGCATTCCAACATATTTCTGATAAATAATTTTACTCAAACATATATTGTGACTTTTTTCCTAGGGATTTTGTGACTTTTTTTTCTGTTAACCATTTCATAATGCATGTGCAATTATTGTCAGAAACAGCCCATATTTCACGTATTTATGGAACAGTATTCTACAGTACTTTCATGACTTTCCCATAAAGAACTAAAAGTTTACATTTAAAAAAAATGTAAAAGGCTACAGCGAAGGCATCAAAACGAAAAAAATAAAATAGCCTAGGAAGACGTCATAATTATTTGGACTAGGATTTCCCCAGATCACTTACTAAAAAGGGAGACAATTCAGAAGCATTAACAAATTACCCTTTCTGTTTCAAGGTCGACTTCTTTTGACTATTAAAATTAAGAAACTATTAGTATTACTGTAGTATAATATGGAACTTTATCATTTTTACTTACATTGTTACATGATTATTCAACATGATCAAACAGCGCATCACTTTCACCGCCAATCTAGAAGTTTAAAAAAACCTTTCCCTACAGGATTTCTAGCACGAGCTAAAACAAATTCCGAAACCCGCTCGTTAAGCACTCGTACTGAGGGCTCTGCCTAAGCAGATTACCAGTCTTCATACACACTTATAACAAATTAAATGCGGAATAGGCGCATTCCGTACATTAATTTTATTTGAACAATTACCTAATCGTTTTTATTTTATTCATCATTCTCAAGTAGACTGGCAAATTTTCTACAAAATAATGTACTAGTCCCCCGACTAGTCTACAGTATTAATTCAATGACAATGTACGTTTTTAGAAATCAATCGGCATGTTTTAATTTCTACAGTATTTTCCTGAGCACTTGCAAACGATTTTCTACAATTTCTTAAATCTTAAAAAAATATATTACTCGGGGATTTGAATAGTACTATATCCACGATGCGATGTTTGTCTACCCTTTCTTTGTAGCTTCCAATACCTCAGATAATGAAAGGGCAGGTACTTTGTGCATTTCTATACTCGGCGTTTCGAGCTGAAAAAGATCATTTTTCTTGGTACAATTGCATGTCTCGTTTCAAGCTTTGAATTACCTCACAAGAAATTTAAGATATATATGATTTTAAGCTCTAACCAAAAACGGACTACGCTTATTTAGAGAATCTATGATAAAATAATAAGTATATAACTTATAAAAGGATTTGTATGGCGGGGAAAAGAAGCATGCATATGGGTCTGACCTGAAAAAAAATAAATGATCTAAAATACTTCAAAGATGCAAACATAATGATCAAGTAATCTTTTATATTTACACCGCTCTGAACATAAATGAATTATAACAAAACTAAGATACAGTAACCATAATCATAACTATAAAAAAAAGAAAGAAAGACGTTCAAACATTCATAGAGAGTGAGTATGCATTAAATGAAATATGTTCTATGCGCATTCAGGCCCTCAAAAGTCATGCACAAGTAACATTAAAAAGTCATAAGAATTGAGATCAAGGATTGAAATGAAATGGTTGTGAAAGTGAATTGTCAATTTATATTGTAAACTTATTTCTTTTATTCAAGTATATCTAACTGTCAATATACAAGTCTAAATTGAAAACAACGTTTATATTCCTGAATCAAGGCGTCACAAACTCATTACTGGCAGATTGCATTTTATAGTTTATATGCAGAAAAACGATTATTATGAGTTGAATTAAACAGAATTATTATTATTAAAAGACGGGGTGGAAAAATTTAGAGACAAATTAAGAATATTCGGGGGGGGGGATACTACAATTTTTTAAAATAATGATTTTGTGATTGGCATAAAATCAGTCCAATCGTTTAATTTGATAAGGGAACAAATTGAGTGAGCCAATAAGGATAAAGGAATAATCCAATTTAAACCAATCAAATCTTAGATGGGAGGGGCCTATTTTTCAAAAGTTTTACCTTTATTAATTAACGTAATGAGTCAATCATTAAATTTTTAAAAAGCTGCAAACGTTACAATTAATATTTCGAAAACAGTCAGAATGGATATTCCTCCGTCATCTTGGTGGTTATCGGTTGTAGATGGCGTTCTGCATTTCAGTGGTTCCGATTTACCGGGCGTGTACATTCCAGTGCAATCCGTTGAGAAGAGTAAAGATGACAACCATGTAAACATCATAACTGAAGATGAAACAGTGAGTATTTTTTTTAATAATTTTATGACAAGTGTAGACACTGCTAGGACAGAAAGTCACAGTTTACAATCATTATATATATATATATATATATATATAAATGGATTTACCGTTTTGATTCCTAACATCACTGAAGAGACATTAATTGTCGAAATCCGGATATGGTGTACAAATTTTTGCACCTCATATTTGCGGTATACCATCTTTTCCGCAAGTTTATTGTTTTCTGTTTGGTATTTGATTAATAATTAAGATCCATTTTTACATCTGGTGATACGTTTATTTGGCAATCGCCAATGGCAGTCAGCAGGGTTTAAGAACATAAGTGTATTGTTCGACCTGTTAGTCAAATGCGTTTTGTTAAAATATACTTTTTCACTTTTTTGGTCTTTTGGAAAATGTTGTTTGTGTTGTATTTAGACCCCTCTACCAAGAAATTTGTTTTCCATGCACACGTATAAAAATTGCGGTTTTTATCCAACGCAATCATAGGTTTGAACGTTGTTTTCAATTTAGACTTGTTTATATTTTTTCGTTTGGGCTTGTATTATATTTCCCTTGGGGTTTATATGATCCGTTCATCCTATTTCGACTCTTCAAAATTCAAGAGTCTATCCTAAATTGAGGTAAATTATAATGGCCTTCGAAATACCGTTTCGATTCCTAACATCACTGAAGAGACATGTATATATCTTTTTTCAGTATTTTATTAAGCAAAAAGATTAAAGTAAAGAAGGGATGTCCATGAATATTTAAAAAAAAATGGTGGTTTCTATATATTCTGTTTCGTTCAACTTTATGTATATAGGTTTTGGTTATTTGTAATGCATGTTTTATTTGCATGATTTTTGGTTACTGTTGTTTGAACTTTAATGACCTTAATTGCTTATTTTTTCATGCGAGTTTGATTAGTGATAGTTTTCCCTTCTATTGTTTCTATTTTTCTCATCATTACACAGTAGCTTTTGTAATGGCTTCGTTGTTTTTTTTTCTAAAGTTTGTGACGAAAAAAACATCTATAATAGCTAACTGTATAGCGTAAAACAACAAACTTGTTGATTATTTAATTGATAAAAGTTATTGAGTAATTAATGAAAAGAAAAATAATCAAAACATCAGTTATAGAATGTTGAGAAAACTTTCAAAAAAAAAACTTACGTATTCTTACTGCTTGATGATTTTTATGATGTATGAATGATAAAATCCAACCATTTTTTTTTAAATAATTAAAAATAGAAATATAAAAAATTAGATGTGGTATAATTGCCAATACGACAACTCTCCACAAGAGACCAAATGACACAGAAATTAACAACTATAGGTCACCGTACAGTCTTCAACAATGATCGGCAAAGCCCATACCGCATAGTCAGCTATAAAAGGCCCCGAAATGACAAATGTAAAACAATTCAAACGTGAAAACTAACGACCTAATTTATGTACAAAAAATCAACGAAAAACAAATATGTAACACGTCAACAAACGACAACCACTGAATTACAGGCTCCTGACTTGGGACAGGCACATACAAACAGAATGTGGCGGGGTTAAACATGTTAGCGGGATCCCAACCCTCCCCTAACCTGGGACGTACAGTGGTGATTATTTTTTACATTTTTAGAATTATTTATATATATATTATCAAATATTATTAGATGCAGAATTGATTTTAAATTGGTGTCTATTTCACCAAATGTCACCAGAGGCCGATTTGACTTATACCCAAAATAAAATATTGATCATTTGTAATATGAAATAAACTAAAGGATAATAGAACTATTTTTGAACAGATTCACAAAAAAAAAACAAAAAGTGAATTTCAAACATTATATTATGTTGCAATTAATGTTAAATTATTTTTAATGATTTAATAGTTGTAGCATAAAAAGAATGCTATCTATTAAAAATTGGAAAATAAATTAGTTGATAAAATATCGATCTCTAATTTGCATAATCATTTTGCAAAAACAAAGAAATATGACAGTAGGCTTGCTTTGTTTTGTTAGAATGAGTTAAATGGCTTCACAGGAAGGGTTGATGGTCATTGCTCATTAAACAACAATAGGAAACGAATTACATGTTAAGCTTTATTCATAAATAAACAAAGCCAGATCATCTATCCCTTAAACTTCAATTAAAACATATGGCTTCCAATGAATTGGCAGGAAAATGGGATGTCTTCATAAAAAAAAAAACAGCAAAAAACAATCAATTTCAAATTGAAATAATGCATACTTTTGTACAAATCACCAAGATGAATAATAGTACTGTAAATAGATCATCCAGTTTCATTAAAAGAAAGATACTACATGTGTAGGTCACCGTACGGCTTTTTGTACAATGAGTAAAACCAATATCGTAAGATACGCTATTTATAAAGGCAAAATAGAATATATGTTTTTTTTTTTGCGGGCAAAATAGCCACTGCCTAAAATAGACCGACTTAACACATTACAAGACAATTTAGTATAAGACCTGTGGTTAAGTCAAGCATTCCTCGAATGGTCGATTATAGAGGACACTGGTTATATCGAGGACAATAAAAATATGAAAAACCCCTATTTTCGGCAATATAAAAATTATACACAATAATTTTTCTCTACACATGCCTGTGAATTTGATTATAGTTCAATCCATTCAATTTGTTTAATAGATTCTTCTAGTGTTATACCTAGTACATACAAAATACATTTTTGTGTCATCTATTAAAAATAAACCGGATTTTCCATGTTTACCGTCATAGTTTTTGTTCTCGTTGGATTTGACCATTTCCGTAAAGTTGTCAGAGCAATCTAATATTACAATTTTAAAATTGGTAATAAGAATCAGGAACATATATATTGACGGGACTTGACACTACCTGAATGTAGTAGATTTTATCGTCGTGCCATAGTTAATAAAGATACGATACAGAAACGGACATGTGTTAAAAACGGACTCGCTATTATCCTAATAATTTCTGATGTTATCAATAAAATGTCATTCAAACTAGTTTTACAGTGATGCTAGTGTATCAAACTTGTATTCTGTCACTTCAAATTTGTTAAAATCGAAAGCATTTCATCACAGAATTGTGCAGAATGCCAACCAGGTAATAAAAAAATGGCGGCCATTGCCGCGATGATTTACAAATTCCCAAACTATTATAAAACACTTCACATCAAATAAATCAAACTTATTTTGGTAATTTTATATGACAAAATATATCTACTAAATGATAAAACTTGTATTTATTTACAAGTAGAGTTATGTGGTTTATTTGTTGAGCAGTTCTGATAGTTTTTCAGTCAGACGCTACCAAAATCCGTAAATCTCGGGAAGTCTCGGGGAGTCCGAGATTTTATCAATTTTATACTGAAAAGCGTATCAGATTCATTTCCCGTTAGATATACTGTTCCCAGTAAGAATTGACTAAGCAATACTATCATACTGACATAAAAGAGGGGCGAAAGATACCAGGGGACATTCAAACTCATATATCTAAAATCAACTGACAACGCCACGGCCGAAAAAGAAAAAGACAAACAATACACAAGTCAACGGTGGTCACTAACCGGTAGAAGTAGAAGTAGAAAACAAGTCACAACGCAAGTTACAACATAGAAAACGAAAGACTAAGCAACACGAACAGTACCCTAAGTCGTTTTCTATGATTGATGCACAGGGAGTGATGCACTTTATTTGGCTATGACTTTCATTTGCTATAAAAGTTAGACTGTTATGTAGAGTAGAATATAATATCTTTTATTTCCATAGACATAGATAGATAAGAGGTACCGTCAAGGGGCAAAGTCGATGAACATATATGACTATGAAACTACAATAAAAAATACAACAAAGAAAAACTTCAAAACAGTATGCTAAAGATAAACATTGTGTATTGCTAATTTAGTGCCACAGTGCTACATGTTAAATCAATGCAGGTGTCTTAATTAGTCCAAATAATTATGACGTCTGGCAAGGCTATTTTAAATTTTTTCTGTTCGTCGGAAGGCGAATTAAAACAGCCTTGCCAGACGTCATAATTATTTGGACTAGTGTTTTAATAAGCTCCAAATCATAGCTCTTGGGTCCTTATGGTATTTTTAGACTATTTGCGATGGTCCCCAAATAGTCAAAAAATATCATTAGGACCTATGCTAAGAGCTACAGTTCTGCAGCTATTGTTTTTCTAAGAAAAACTTCAGAAAAGGCAAGTTGTTTCAAAATAGAATTAGACTGTTAGACTCGGACTGTCTTTCAAAGACTGACAAAGATGTATAGCTAGTAATATACATACATCCTTAATTGGTCCCTTGCTGTTGCCCAAAATAATGTTAATTTTCATCTCGCGCAAAAGTGACTAAAGCCCTCAAAATCCTAGCTTAAACCCTGTTCACAGTTTAGTAACTATGTTAATTTATTAACCATGTCTTTGGAGTAAAAAATTTTACATTCTTCAAATTACAAAAATAATTGTCCTATGAAAATTATGTGTAAAAAGTCCTAATTGGAAGTATTGTCTTTGACTTAAATGTCCGTCTGATGACGGAAACAATATTAGGATGCCCTTATTTTTGTTAATAATAACCCAAACAGAATAATCATAAGCGAGGATGACAAATGCCACTATGCATGGTACCTATAGGACTCAAAGGCACAAAGGCATGATGATTAATTTATTATGGAAGGTAGAGAAGCGACACAAAAAATGAGGTCTTCTCATTTAACATGTTTAATAGTATAGATATAAAAAAAAACATCAATGTTAATGCTGTTGTTTTTTCATCATTTTTGTGTTATGTAAAATTATACTAAAACTTTTTAGAGAAGAATTTTATTCTAATTTTGATTTTATTTTAGTTTAAGGTACACATATCCAAGTTCCAAGTCAAAGACATAAGATTCAAGCATCTACAAGATGTATCATCAAGACGGAAATTTTGTGACAGATTGGAAAAACTGCTTCCCCAGCTGTGTTCCTTGAGTGAAAGTTTAAATTCAGGTACTGCTCTTTATGTTAAGTTGTTAAATTATTGAACCAATTATTTTTGTTTTAAATATAGAGATCACAGGTAGAACATTCAGTGGCGGATCCAGAAATTTTCATAAGTGGGGGCCCACTGACTGCCTAAGAGGGGGCCGGCTCCGCTCATGCTTCAGTGATTCCCTATATAATCAACCAAGTTTTTCCTAGAAAAGGAGAGGGGGGCCCCTAAATCCGCCTCTGACATTAATGTGCAAGAAAAAATCATTGAAAAATACATGAAAACTCAGTAAAACAAAGCGCAAAGGGATACTCACTGACTTGTCTTAAGTCAAACGCCAAAATTTTATGTAGTACATTCTATTTAGGGCTACAAGTAAAATGTATGTATTAGTCAATAATTTAATATATTATGGTCATTGCCACATCATACAAATAATTATTAGTTAACAGTTACCATATTGGTTGAATGATGTCATGCTTCCTACACTGTATGTATATACATTTAATGTAATATGATGTGGTATAATAACTGATGAGAAAAGTATATAAAATTTAAAACCAAATGATATGGTCAAGTTTGACAAACACTAATTTTTGATAATTGAGAAGCTTGATATTTCCTTAACAATACAATGTGATTAAATCGTTAAGCTGATTTTACAGAGTTATCTCCCTGTAGTGTTTGGTACCACCTTAAAGTGTAAGGGTTGGGCATTTTTGATGCCATATTCTCCCCATTAATTGTCTATTATAAAATGATTAGATGGATCCAAAGCAATGTGGAAATATATATTTGATGTGGCATTTGTCAGTAAAAATTGGAAATGGAAAAATTCTACCTCGCAAAGTCAGTCACGGAAATAGAGGTTACAACTAGCATCTAAAGAATGCATTACGAATTTGTGATTTGCACCCCAGATGTATCTGATCATACATACTAATATAATTGATGTTTTACTTAATTCAGATATCAATAAAAAATGAATCTACAAAAACATTTATTGAGAATTTTCTAGTGATGACTTTTGTACAAATCTTTCGTCAAAGCCATATGGTTCACCAGAAGCATCTTCCTCTGATTTTATTGAGAAAAATCATCACTGCCTGGTTCTGTCATAGTCAAGTTCAATGATTTTATGGACATACAAAAGTAATATGGCATCTAAGCATTAAAAAAATTATGCCTTTTTTTTATACATTTAATGCTAATTATTTTGTTGGAAATTTTGTTTTTCTAATAGCAAAAAAGTTAGGATGATTATTGTCTTTAACCCCGGTACGGCCAGAATGTTTTGAAGGAAAAAATCAGGGCCAGCATTTTTTTCTCTGTTATTAATGGGCTGGGGCGTGTGGGGTTAAACATGTTGTTGTAGGTAAATATTATAGCTGTGGAACTTTTTTTGTCATGTGAGTGTAATAGAGTATTGCCATCTGTTGGATGGAATTGTGAAATAGGAGGCAATGAGTCCTTGCTCCATCCTTTGTCGCTTTGAATGCGTCATGCTTGTCATCCTCAGCCTTATCAATGTGGTTACTGTAATTTGAATTTTAAAATGACTGAGAGACGTTTTTTGACGTTCTGGTAGCGAATATCGTTGACTTTGACATAATCAATAATATTTAACACTTATAAGAGCGAATAATATCTTTATAAGTAACGAATTGTCTACACGGGAAATGGCAAAGTCAACTAAATGTGGTCTGATTAATCATTTTACCATCTTAATAAAAAAAAAGTGCAAGTAAAGGGGACATACACCCTCTACGCCCTCTCTGTATCCGCCACTGGTAGAACAGTAATTATATAACAGTTGAATTTTTTCAAATTTATGTAAACATATATGTGAATAGTTTTGACAAATTTCTGTAACATTTTTTCTTTCAGATACTACAGCCGACCAATTATCTTTGAGTGTTGCATCAAAACAGAGATGTTTTCAAGAAGAAGTGCAGGTATTTACTATATATGTTTTCAGCCTTGTATCACCTTCATTGGTGATCTGTTGTGGAGTTGTTTAAAGCTTAAAGTTATGTGCTAAGCAATGGTCAATAACCATTTATCTTATCAGAAGAACAAATGAAATAAAACAGTAATTTGACTTGAAATAAAAAAATAAAGTGAAATAGCTAAGTCACATCAATTAAAATGTAAGCGGCATAATGATCATTGTATTAAAATATCTTTATTCTGATTACTGATAGGCAGGATAAATATAATTTTTACTCTTTGTAGATGATGCGCAACCTCCATCCTGATAATAATGACCCTGACAAGTTGGGTGAATTCTTAGATTCATCAAACAGAGTGTGGCGCCAAGCATGTGTGACTTTATTTGGATGTATTGACAGGGTATGTATAAATATAAATGATTTTATGATTGATCATTTCATACATGTAGGGAAAGCTTTACAAAAATGTGAAAATATGGAAAAAAAGCTTAAATGTAAATGAGACAATATGAAAAAAGATGATGTGGCATGATTGCCAATAAGACTACTCCATACCTAACAAGCCAAATGTATTTTATGTAAGAAACTATAGGTTATTGAAATACTTTTAATGCAGAAGAGGTCCACAATGACCATTCACAAGTAGGAAACCTACAATGGACTATGAGCATAATATACATATACAACCTCTTAATCTTAAACAAATATGAAAAAACAGTAACCTAAACAACCAATTACCGGTAATAACAAACTCCTGATTTGGTACATTCACATACATATATATTTTCACCAACTGATCCATGCGCAAATAGATTGGATATTGATTGTTGCTATTTTTAGACATTTTCGTCTAAACATCAGCCCAACAATGTTAGAACTGTAAATTTGCTTTTGTTAATTTTTTTGTTCATCCCTCGCCGGGATTAGAACTCATGGCTACAAATCGGTTTGCACTGTGCCCGACGCGCTAGACCACTTGACCACTTGAACAAATTTAGTTTCAATTTTATAGTGAGATAAACAAATGACATAGGCATATAATTTATTTCTCTAATTTTCATCACTTAAGTTCAAATAGGGCTTTTGTAAGTTCTAAGAAAAAGGCTTGTAGTGAAGTTTCAAACTGATGTGTTTTACAAAACTATTCTTACTCATTCTCATTTTCAATTCATAAAAGTAATAGGTTGTCAATTCATAGATTTTTTAGACCAAGTCAAAACAAAATTGAAATAAGCATACTGTATTCAACCTAGTAAATGCCCCTGAGGCGTTGCATATTCTAGAATTGGGCATTTAACTTAAATATTTAAATAATGAGTTTGTACGACTTGCTTGAAACTCTGGCCTATGAAAAATTACTGAGAATTCTTATCACAACCCTTTTTAAGCATTTGTTTGTCGTTTTCTTCACCGTCCACTTTAAGACCATAAATATAAACGGTGACCAGAATGATTCTTTCACAAAATAAACTTGATTATGTTATTTGTAAAAGCTGCATGGAATATACGATCTAATATAGTCTCATAACTTTATATGTCATTGTATTATACTATTGTTCTCTGCTGTCTATTCATGTTTTATATTATGTAATATATGTTGTTAATTTTGCCATAGCATGTCTATAAAGATTCATTCAATTAACAGAGGTTGTGAGGTATTATAACCAGTGGCTTATAGTCATCTTTTATTTCTTTACAGGCAACATTTGGTGGAAGATACAGAGAACAAATATACTGTGCCTGTTTACCAGGTTGTTGCTATGAGGAGCTCATCAACATCTTTCAGAATTTCAGAGATGGCTTGATACTTTCCACCAAACAGTACAAAGAGATACCAGCTGGTCTATTCAGGTTCTTTGTTGGTTGCAGAGATGAACCAAGAGTCCATCGTCTCCTTGGAAGACTTTCGACAGGTGTAATTACTATGGAGCAATTTAGATTTGCTTCAAAGGAATTTAAGGTAATTTGTTTTCTTACTTTTACCCCCTTTCTTGTTGTCAAAAGACTCATTTAGGAATTATAGCTTTCAAATTATACCTTAAAAGAATAGGCATTTTATTCTTTTTAAATTAATTTCAGGGTTAAAGCTTTAACAAACTTAGGATTTTTACAAATTAAAAAGAAATCAGATATTGTATTACTACTTAATATATTGAAAGAAGTGGTATGTCATGTATGTTATTTGTTTTGATAAGCATTAGGTGGATTCAACATACATCAGACTGTAGGAATAATTTTTTCAATATAAAGTATTGTGTGTTGTATACTGCAATGAGTAAGAAAGCCAATAATACCAAAACATAAAAACATACAAAAATCATTATAGTCCTCAACAAAGAATTACAGTACTATTTATATAATAAATGTAGAGCTTAAAACTTGTGTGCTTCTAGAAGAGAATGATTTAAAAGTGACCTGCAAAAAGTCGTCAATATGAAGAACACTAAACTTTTAATGTATAATATTGTATATGTATATTAGATTAATTACAATGATATAGAAAAATATTTGTTTATGCACAGGTGGCATGTATTTTGATTGATTAAAAAAAGACTTCAAAGATAAATATCATGATTATTATAAGAAAATATGCGAGCCCGTTTGTGGGACTTATTATTGTATACTGTTGTCCATCCGTCTGTCCGTCGTCAACATGTCAGACATTAAAAAACGCTTATCAATTTGAATAAAACTTTTGTGATTTGTTTATCTCTATTGACGTAAGCTCCCTTTCAATTTTCATGAATTTCTGAGTTGACATTGAGAAGTGATTGAACTTTATTCTTCGAAAACGCGAAGGGCGTATCATGCGCTCATGGCGCAGCTGTTTATTCTAACACAGCATGATTTGAAATTAAGACATAGCTACAATGAATCTTTCTGTTTTAGGAAAATCAACAGAAGGATGAAGATTTAAAGGTTAGACTCCATTTGAAATAAGCTGTCTTATCAATGAGTAAAAAATATTGTAAATAATTCAAAATCCAAAATATATGGTTAAACATCAAAGAAATATTGCTATTAAAGTTGTTATGCATAATAATCTAAAAGTATACATTTATTGGTTTCTTGAGATTTATATTTTTTGTGAAAATTGGCTAATTGATTCTGGTAAGGTAGAAAATTGCAAAATTTTATCTGTAAACTCAAACACTCAAAAAGATATTAACATAAACAATCAGTTAACTTTTTAAAATTTTACAGACAGAAAACAGAAGACTGAGAGCTGAAAATGACCAATTGAAAAAAGAAAATGCAAGACTTCAAAGGCAGAAAAGACATCAGGTACTTTAATATAATTCATTTTTAAATTAAAAAATAATATTCAAGAATATGAACAAGAGCATGAAACCACAGGGATCTGAAAAGAAAAGGCAAATCTGAGGACAATTTTCAGTCAGTAGTTTGAAACTTATTTTTTGTAGTATTTTTATCCTTGTCTGTCCATACTTACGTTGGTATGTCCCAAAGTTGGTTTCCATTCTCTATATTAGTTTGCATACACCAAATGTTATGAAACTTAAACACACTACTTATTACCACAAAATACAGAACAAGTTTGAATTTTGGTGGTGTCACTTTTACTGTTATGAAACTTATACACAATACTTGTAATCAAAATACTCAGATCAAATTTGGGTAGCGTCACTTTTACTGTTCTTCAGTTATGTCCTTTTATAACTTTATATGATATGCAAGCAGGGACATCATCTTAGTCCCATGAACACATTCCCCATTTATTTTATTTTAAGATATCTATGAAATTTAGGTAGACAGGAGAGAAATACTAATCCACATCACATATGGGATTGCTGGTTGTTGGAAATAATTTAGCCTACTCAATTATGGGCCTTTTAAAATCTTTTTGTGAATCCATACTTGTTAAAGCTGTTACGTTTAATGACCTCTTCTATATGGCTGTGTATTGATATTTTTTTTTTAAGTTCTTTAATTTTTTTAAAAGAAAAAAAAAGCAGCTTAGATTACCTCTTCAATAACACTTGCTTTAAAAAAATGTTGCTTTCTCAAAAAACATATTTTTTAGGCTTTGTTTTTTTTAAGTTTTTCATTTACTTTTGCAGGATGTATTTGAATATGTAGAAGATCTAGAAGATATAGAACCAACTGAACCAACAGTCAGAAAGACCTATCAAAGGTATGTTTAAGGTGGATAGGGAGTCCATAGAATTTTATTGATAATTTGTCAAAATGTATTTTTTATCAGGCTTTTTTCCAAAAGATAATAAAAAGTATGGGTCACCAGACTTTTTTTTCACACTACAAGTTGTGCAAAATTGTCTGATTTTGTCTAAATTATGCATGAAAAATCCAATTTTGTGTGACAAAAAGAAAACTACACCATCGAATTTAAAAATAAAATGTGAGAAGATAGTTCTCATAACAGGCTTTCAGTTAAGAAAATGAAAACTTTTTTTCTTGCTACATAATACAAAAGGTAAAGTCACAACACTTTCTATTTTGTAAATTACTTTATCTGAGTTATCCCCCCTGTATGAGGCATAGTTGAAAAAAATGAACCCAGCAAAATTATTTTACAGAAAAAAACAATCTTAAATCTGATTAAACACATAATTATCTATATAAAGATGAAAAGTCTTACACATGAATTACATACTACTCTCAAATTTAAGCATTTTTAAAGATCTGACCAATTGTTATCTACTACCTCTTAATCCAAGATGGAGACCCCAGCTAGCTTGAAATATAAAATATAAAAGGAACAAGAATTGATGTGTATATAGTGATGGGTAAGCTTGTGCTTTTGTTCATTAGTCATTTTATCTGATCCTCTGTTTCCAACAAACCATCGTAAGAAATGATAACTTATCTTAATGTTATGGAACGTTTTCAGAAAATTAATCATATAATGCCATTGATTTTACAGGAAAGTAACTGCTGAAGTTCATGTCAATTTGGAGGAAGCTCACAAGAAAAGAAGAATTCAAAAAGAGAAAGAAGATAGGGTAAGATTAGATTATATCAAAACTGGAAAGGAAAAGTAAAACAGAGATTGCTGGGTATACTTTTACAAGTAGGGTCTTTTTCATCTTCTTCAAAATTGTTAATATTGGAAACCTTAAATGTGAGTGTCAGAGTCAGTTAATCTTTCATGCAGATTGCTTTTGATATTATTTTTTAGCAAATGTCATGCTCAATACTTATCATGCTTATCCTTAGAAATTTGGAATACAATGCAAGTTAAGTTCCATTTTAAAAAAAAAAACTTTTAATCAAAGGACAGTTTTAATTAAAGACTAAATTGTGATGGCCTAGCTTAGTTTCATCACTTAATTAACTTACTCTAGTTTTTGTTGAGCCTGCAACTTTTGTCGCAGAAAGCTCGATCAAGGGATAGTGATCCGGCGGCTGTGGCGGTGGCGTTAGCTAACTTCTTAAAAGCTTTATATTATAGAAGGCGGAAGACCTGGATGCTTCATACTTTGTATATAGATGCCTTATGTTACTAAGTTTCCATCTGTCACATGTCCATTGTCCTTGACCTCTTTTTCATGGTTCAGTGACTACTTGAAAAAAAGTTCAGATTTTTTGTAATGTTAATTTCTCTCTTATTATGAGTAATAGGATAACTATATTTGGTATGTGCGTACCTTGCAAGGTCCTCATGCCCGTCAGACAGTTTTCACTTGACCTCGACCTGGTTTCATAGATCAGTGAAAAAGGTTAAGTTTTGGTGGTCAAGTCCATATCTCAGATACTGGAAGCAATAGGTCTAGCATATTCGGTGTATGGAAGGACTGTAAGGTGTACATGTCCAACTGGCAGGTGTCATCTGACCTTGACCTCAATTTCATGGTTCAGTGGTTATAGTTAAGTTTTTGTGTTTTGGTCTGTTTTTCTTATACTGTATGCAACAGGTCTACTATATTTGGTGTTTGGAATGATTGTAGTGTGTACATGTCTAGCTGGGAGGTGTCTTCTGACCTTTACCTCATTTTCATGGTTCAGTGGTCAAAGTTAAGTTTTTGAGTTTTGGTATTTTTTTCTAATACTATATGCAATAGGTCAAGTATATTTGGTGTATGGAAATATTTTATGATGTACATGTCAGTCTTGCAGGTTTTATTTGACCTTGACCTCATTTTCACGGTTCATTGCTCAGTGTTAAGTTTTTGTGTTTTGGTCTGTTTTTCTAATACTATAAGCAATAGGTCAACTTTAGTTGTTGTATGGAAGGATTGCAAGCTGTACATGTCTGGCTGGCATGGTTCATCTGACCTTGACCTCATTTTCATGGTTCATTGGTCAATGTTAAGTTTTCGTGGTTAAGTCTGTTTCTTGTATACTATACGCAATAAATCAACTATATTTGGTGTATGGAATGATTGTAAGGTGTACATGTAAATCTGGCCTGATTTATCTGACCTTGACCTCATTTTCTTGGATCATGTTAAGTTTATGTGATACTTGTAGTAAAACTTTATATTTAGGACTATCAACATAATATCAATGATTAGTAAAGAAGGCGAGACATTTCAGCGTGTGCACTCTTGTTATATGGTTCATGCTATCTGAATTTAAAAATAAAAGTTACATCCCACTTGAGGTTAAGATAAATACAAATTGGTATATCTAACTAACATAGTTGAGTCATACATTGATGAATATGAATGATATTGTTATGTGTTTGATACATGATGAAATTTAAATGTTTTAATTTTTTTATCTTTTTATCTTTACAGTATATAGAACTGATTGACGAAATCATCAGAGAGGTTAGTAATCATACAATGACCCTAAATAGATAAAATAGAATTACATGTATATTCTTTAACACATTGCTTTATTTTCAACATAACTGTATACTGTTGTATATTGTCAAAATGATTTCCGTTTAACTTACAAGAAATAAACATTTATATAAGCCTGTCCATTTGTCTGTCCCTCCATCTTGATCTGTCAGTCTGTTGTCAACATGCTAGACAAATATTCAAAAACACTTACACCAATTTGCATGAAAGATTGGTGAAGTGTTTATATTTAATGACATGAGCTCATTTGATTTGAATAAAGTTTGTAAATATTTAAATAATGTCCCTTATTTTTTTTTTTTTTTAAATTCTGATTTGACATTGAGGAGTTATGGAACTTTATTCTTTGAAAAAGTTGCAGGCGTATCATGATCTCATGGAGCAGCTCTTAAGTATCATATGGAATCATGATTAACTGTTGGTTGCCTAAAATAGAATGGTTTTTCATTTGAAAGATTGAAATAATTTTGCTCTGCTCAAAGTTCTAACCTTTTGTTTTAATTGAGTTGCCTCTGTGTTTCTATAATCAAAGCTAATCTCAAGTAAGGGAGGCTGTGTGTTTAATTGCATGCTGGTCCAACTGTGTTAAAAATTAAGCCTCTTGTTCTTAAAGAATTATAAAGTAATGAAAGATGCTTATATTTTAGAATGAAGCAGAGACAATAGAAGTAATAGAAGCAAATGAGGAAGACAATGAAGTTGTGGCACAAGTTGTGGAAAATGTTAAGGAAGTTACAAATGAGGTAGGCATGAATTATTCATGTATAGAACTTGCAGCAGTTAAGAATGTCAAATTGATGAAAAGAAATTCAAATCAGCACCATTATATTGTTCTCTTTTATTAAAGGTGACATTTGATCATCATTATCACTATCAACAATTTTCTTTTAAACAAATACATAGACAAAAAGAAAGCGTATTATCTGCTTTTTGAGGTGGGTGTTGCTAATTTTATAGTCTTTGAGTTTTCAATGTTGAATTCTGTTATGTTTGAGTTTTTGACTATCCCTGTAGTATCTTCTGCCTCTCTTTTACAAAAATTACATATTAATTTGTACATCATATACATGCAAACACTTATTTATTTATTTTTGTTAATTAATGATAATGATAATAGTAATCACACAGACTCTTAACAACGAAAAAAGCAAAATTTTTAAGATAGCAGTCTTTTGTTGTCTCCGAGTTTGCATGCTTCAAATGCAGGTAATGATAGCCAAGTAGGATAATACTTAATACTTAGTCTGGCTAAATTCGGAGATTGTGCATTTTTAATGTGTAAAAGCGAAACTATTTCTTTTCTTCATGAACCAATACATGCTCTCTCGTCTGTTACCTTGTGCACCATGTTGCATGTTTGAAAGCTGCTGTTGCTTGTCAATCTATTACTGGGCCATGTTTTCATTTATGTCACATAATCATGTTCTTTCTTAAAAAATAGTAGTAATGCATCTAGAATCAAAACTTCATAAATTTGATGATCTTTTAATTTTTTTTGTTTTTTTTTATAAATTACTTACATTGCTTCTTTCTGTTGCAGGTTACATTCAGCAAAGGGGAAAAGATAATCGCATTTTGGGAAGACAAAAACATCTCAGGATGGTACCCTGCAGTGGTATTAAGGGTCAACAAAAACAGTAAGTGGACTAAATAGAAGAATTATAATGGCCTTGTTGTGGTATTTTCATAATAGAGTACAGTTGCATTTTGACACTCATGCAATATATATTAACTGTTTGGTAAACTCTATAAGCCGTGTTGCTTTTGAATAAACTTCTTCAACAATTATCAATACATTTAAATTTATTCTTAACCTGTCAGACTAGATACTTTAGAGAAAACATGATGTCAAAATTCTTTTAAACTGATGTTCAACTGTTTATTTACATATTAATACTTTTGTATTGATTCACTATATATGTCCAAAGCATTATTCTTCTGCCTTATATAATATTCACATTATGTAACATAACAATTGTTTATTTTCATAACGTATTAACTTGTTTCAAGAAATATTTTTAAGAAATCAATAGTGATTACATTCACTATAATACTTAGAGAAAACAAATATATATACTGAATATAAACTATAAAAAAAGACATATATACCCTCTCATTACTATTCTTATTTCAGGTTATTATGTCAAATTTTTTGATGGTGTAAAGATTAGTCTCAAACCAGAGGAAATTAAAAAGACAGCCAACTAGAAGACGAAATTGTGACATAGACTACTGATATAGTGATTCATTAACATTTGTTATGTTTTGTACATATTGATTGTTTACTGTAAATATAAGTCCTTTATAAATTTAAGTATAATATAAGTCCTTTATAAATTTAAAGTATATATCTACATAAAACTAAATTATTTTTTTTATTTTATTTTTTTTTTGGGGGGGGGGGGGTATATCTTGAAAAAAATAGTTTGAGGGGGTATATATCTTGAACAAAGTAGTTTGAGGGGGGTAACTTAAAAAATTTTTTTTTATGTTAAGTTATGTTGAGCCTTAATATTACAGTTTAAGACTGTTGATTATATTTATAGATATTTTTATTGATTTTAAATGTTGTAAAGAATTGTGTTTTAAAAAAGTATTAATAAATTCCAGAATAAACTTATATTAATACATATATTATCTGCTTTGTTTTTTAAATGTTTAGTTTGAAACAGTTATAGAACAATATATTGCATTACAATATCCAAGGAAAAAAATATATCCAGCTACGAAGAATCATCAACCATAGAATCAATACTAAGAGATTGATAACTGAAACACACAAAAAAACACTGTACTTAATTTCATTGATGTTTAAAGGAAATCAATCATCCCATGGGATTTTAAACTTTATAAAAAGAACCATATTTATCCCATGGGATTTTAAAAATCCCATGGGATTTTTTTTGTCCCATGGGACAACAAATATCCCATGGGACTACAATTATCCCATGGGACCCAAAAAAATCCTATGGGATTTAACCAAAATCCCATGGGATAATGGCAAATCCCATGGGATATTGAAAATCCCATGTTTTTCTTTATCAAATTGCAAGATATATTTAATGATAACATAAAAAAAGGTATGCATTTATTGAATCCCATGTAATTCCGCACATTTTGGTTCTATACATGACACTGTAGCTCTAAGGAGAGGCGGCGGCGGATTTGCAAATGAGTGTTTTGCAAATTAAAAGTGTCCAGTGTTCAAACATCACTCTTTCTTTCATAATGATCAATTTGAATTTCTAAATTTTCTAAATCTAAATTGCTTTGTTTATTTTGTCTCTTCAATGTTTTATTTTCACTGGCTACTTTCACTGCATTACGCTCTATATATCCATCACTCTTTTTCTTTCTTCTTCTTGTAAATATTAAAATGTGGTCTTATCTGAACGATTTTCTGGAAAGCAAAATGTACTCTGCAGAAAAACATTCAATATTGATTTATTGTGCTTCCTTAAAGCAACCACTTCTTAAATTGGATCTGCAAAAGCAGTCAGAAAAAGACAAACCACATGAAATTATGTCAAAACCAAAACAAACGGAGGGACTTTCACAACAAAAAACCAAGAGATCACTGCAATTCACCTTCAGTATTGACATCAACACCAGTTTCATCTACAAAGGTTTCCAGTGTGAGTGCTAGTGAGACAATTATTTCGGTCACACTATGTATATAAGGTTGCTTATTATCAGTTTTTCATAAATTAAATTTCCTCTGTTAGCATAATAATAAATATAATATAAAACAAAAACTGACTATATGTCACTTTGAGTTGGATCGAATGCCATGTGAATGGAACATCTTAAAGAAATATTACTGAAGGCAGGGATTGCCAATGAAACTTTATAGAACTGAAACTACATATAATAATGTCAAAATATCTTAATATGGGCTATTTGTTTTCTTTTCAGATTGTCCACCAGATGGGTCAATAAAATTGATAATGGAGTCAGTGGAAATAAAGAACATGTCCTTGCAATGTTGAGATGATGTGCTCATGCAAACACAAGAAATGAATATAAAAACACCTGTAGGCAAATAGCATCAATCACATATATGGGAATCAAGCAGAAAACTGCCGAACTTGATTAAACGGACTGCAATAATTATTGATTCACTGCAATTTTCATTCTCAAAATGGTTTGTTTTGAATCTTTGTAAAATGATTCACTGCAATTTTCATTCTCAAAATGATTTGTTTTGAATCTTTGTAAAATAGCCAAGTCTATGTTTTTTGGCTTAAAATCTGAGATTTTTAATTCTAATATCCGAGAACCTAAACATGTATTGTGAAGAACCCTGTAATAAAGGAACAACAATTCATTTGTGCTAATGTTAGAGAAATTACATTAAGTATCAACATAATTCAGCTTAGTATAATAGTTGATGATACACATGACAAGCAATAATTAAGTATTATAAAAAAAAACAAAGTACAATTGGAGAGAGAGAAATCCATACATGGCAAAAATCATCAAAAATGTATAATAACTGCATCAGTTGTTTCAAAATGAAATGTAAATTGGGTAACTTATTATTAAATCATTACTAAGTTAAAACATCCTTGGTACAGGCACGAAGATATTTTCCGTTCAGATGCAACAGGATTAGTCAAAAGAAATAACATTCTATATATTGTAGCTTAGTTGGAGTAAAAGAATAACCAACAAACAATAACAGACCAGAAGATTAATTTTTCTTAACAAGTTTTGGCAGTAAACATGTGTAATTTAGAAATATTAATTGCAGATACCTGCCAGCTCAACAGACAGAAAGCAAAGTATTAAAAGTAAACATAGGATGATTGGTACATGATGGACATAGATATATCCTAATACGTGCAGTCAATGGGGAAGGGACTAAAGTGGTGGATTTTCAGTGGAATGCCAATTATTAGACTAACCTGGAAAAGACCAGGATATTGTAGGTAGCTATTTGCTAATCTTTTGCCATCACTTTTCGTCCGTCATCCGTTAACTTTTATACAAAGTTCTTCTCCTCTGAAACAACTAGGCTAATGTAAACCAAAGTTAGACTAAATCATCTTCAGGAGGTCGGCTTTAGAAAATATGTTCGATAACCCTGTCAACTAACCAACATGGCCGCTGTTACTATAAATAAAACTTTAATAGGAGTAAAATGAAAAAAAAAATAACACAATAAAAATAAATATGACAAATCCTGTAAAACGCATATAGCTGCCCGACTATGAGGAGATGATTGATTGATTGATTGATTGTTGGTTGCTTAACGTCCAGTGGCAAATAGTTCATGCATATTCAGGACGAGAACAAATTAACAATAAATACAAAAGGTAGGTTCTGTAATAGGGGTTTCCGGGATTAAGGTCGGAGAAATTTAGACTGCCACGGGAAATGAGGGTATATTGGATAGGGACGGAAATTTAGCCTTGCAACAGGTCACCTACGGACCCCTCAAAGAGTTGTTGCAAGGGTTCTTAACGTGCAAAAAGCGTGGCACTCTCTTTGCACGAGACATCGGATTTAACGTCCCCATTCTGACCGGACGTGGCTGCAAATTTGTACATCCCGCACAGCCAAACGGACACCCCACTTCAGTAAGGGTTTTACTGCCGGTCGGAGGAAGACCAATGGTGACCATACTTCTATTCCCCAGTCACCCTTGGGGGTATGAGGAGATGATACTATAACAATGAAGCCAAAGTCCAAACACATTTTTGTTTAAAGAAATCTTCTCTGTTTTTTTTGTCCCTCTATTAAATTATATGGAATGACTTGCCAAATACCAAAAGATTTTTTTTTATATAGATCTGTATAAGAGGCCTAGTTTTACTGTAGGAGGAGTTAGCTTGCTTGAAATTCTTAATACTCATAGTAGAAAGAACGGACAAGGGTAAACCGTGTGTCCCCGAGCATTCAGTTGCGAGGGCACAAACAGAATGAAATATGATCATGCTGTTTTTCATAAGATATTTCATATTTGTTGAAATATGATATCAGATCCACCATTTTTTCTTGTTCTGTACCAAGTCAGGAATATAGTAGTTGCAATCGAATAGTTTATTTCAATGTGTGCTGGCGTTTGTTTTCGTTGCACTTCGTTGTTACTTTGTTTTCCTCTTATAGTTGTGTGTTTCCCTAGGTTTGGGTTTGTATTCCGGATTTGTTTTCTCTCCATTTATTAATGACTTTTGAACACCGGTATTCTTATGTTGCCTTTATTTAATCTAGCAAATATCTATAATTAGCTGCATACAATATGTTTCTTAATTTTCCTTTGATGTCGAGATAAATATATAAAAACATTGTTTGTGTGCATAATGCCTTCACAACTTTGATTGAAGAAATAATTTCTTCAAATTGTACACAGTTTATTGAGGCACCCGTGAGGAAAGGTCAACAACATGCATCATGTCATTCGTATTGCAAACAAGTTTCACTTCTTAGTAAAAAAATTACAGTACTTCAAGAGTCTTTGGAAAATAATAACAAGGAAATAAAAGGTAAGAAACAGATTTTTTTGTATGCTTCATTACACGCTCTCCATTAGTGAGAGTACTGATATGCATGTTGGTAATGTGCTTTTTAGCCAAACATAGCTTAAGATTGAAGTCATGATGTCATGGAAGGCAATTGGATACCCTGCAAAATTCGCTATTTAATTTCTAATTTTTGTTTTTCAAAGTCGCTGGAAAGCTTGTCTAAACAGTGAACTGCTGAGCAAGGATATTGCATACCGTTCGGATTCACCCTTTAAATGCTGTAAACCACTTGGGTCTACATCTGAAAGAGTTGAAGAAACGAATACAAGGGGAATTTTGATTGGATGTTAGTCAGAGGGATTAGGATTTGAGGGAACAAACAAAGGTTCTACGGGTGATGTTGGAGTTGGCCAAAAATAGTAATCTGCCTGTTGTGATCCTTTCTTAGTTGATTTTGACAAACCTGAACTTAACTGGCTGCTAAAAGCAAATTATTATTTCACTATTTCACTTTCATTAATGATTGATCAAACAAAAATCATATTTTATTTTTTTAACATTTCGTAGCTAATGCCCCTTTAAGAGCTTATTTATACAGATAAATGATCAAACTGTAAAACAAAGTTGCAAAAAGAGTATACACTGATGATAGGAAAGACTTGGAGCGGCCCAAAACCAAAAGAAGTTAGTGCAGCCATTTAAAAAAGAGCGACTTTATATTGTTTATAAAAAAATAATAATTTGTTTCTAACAGGTTATCAATCTGGAATATATGAACCTGCTACATTTATCTTAAAAGTTCAAAATTTATTTAAAGTTTTTTTGGAAGTTACATGATATAATATAAACAAAGCGGAAAAAGCGGAAATTTTTCAAGTTTCATAAATTTTCGATAAGGCAAACAATTAGGATATGTC